CCATATATAAACAGTTGTTAATATGAGCTTGGATCATGATAATGACTTTCAGTGCATATATGCTGTACAACTCTTTTTGGTTTAGTGTGAGCATATTGAAGAACATTGTTGCTATAAAAAGAGGAAGAAAAAGAACAGAGATGTGAAAATGTTCCTTAATTGTTTTCCTACTGAAATGAAACACCACGGCGCTCTCGAATCGGCAGGATTTGGTCAAAAGACAAGTCATTTTGAAACACTTTAATGCATTTATAAGTGGTTCAATCTGCGGTAGGTCTGGGCCATTAGTGTCTCTCATTTCAAAGTCGTTTTCAAAGGCAGCAGGGTACAAAAAGACCTAGACATTACCTTCTCCTCCGCCCGGGCCCCAGCGCGCTAAACTGGGGCGTCATAATGACCCAGCAACGGTGAGACACACTCCTGCTGTTCCCTGGTAACTACAGAGACAGGAGAGAGGAATGTAAATTTACGTCAGCCTCTGCCACCGTGCCCTTTTGCTGCAGTGTAAAGTGGTCTGATGAAGCTAATTCATCCACATCACTCAGGAAAGGCACATTACTGTGAGAAGAAATAGTGATGAAAAATGATGGAGAAAAAATGATGAGCAGGCAATGTCCTGCCAGTCACGGAGGCAGATATACCTCTGGGATCTGATAGGATGACAGTACCTGGGACTAAAGGTGCGCAGTCAGCTGAGGAAAGCCTCTCTCAGGTGTCTGTTTATTACAGTCGTGACCCAGTTCACCAGTCCATCCATCAGAGTCTCTTTAGAGAAAAATACTTCATGAGACTGATGAAATAATAACTAGAGGGGATGACAAAGTATTCTGATCATTTAACCCTTTTCTTCATATTCTGATTTGTAAATAATGTCGTGTTCTGTACATTAACGTGGGCCCTCATGAAGGATGAAGCATGGAGATTAGAATCTTTTAATGTTAGTGTAGGTGAGAATAGAAAGTCCATCACGGTCAGCCCCCACGGTCAGAGCAGACTAAACAGAATACACTCCCATCTGACAATCTTACAATGTTGCACATCTTTACTCTGCTGGCATATTTAGGAAAACGTGGGTAATGGATTGCCTTACAGCGAAAAAGGTCTTAGGTTTGATGCCTGGTGTTTCACATCCCTTTACATTTTGTTCGTTTGTACCATACAGAAAACAGTGGCTTGATCTGTATCTGCGTGTGTTGTTTTCTTGTGTGTGTGTGTGTGTGTGTGTGTGTGTGCATGTGTCAGGCTCTACCTGACCCTGTCATATTACAGGGACAGATGAGCTGCAGTGATGGAGTCACTGTGCTGTGTGTATGTGATGGACAGTTGCAGCAGCACAGTGAGGAGATGCAGATGTTCCCTCTGACATTTCTCTCGTTTGTTTTCTGCTCAGCTCGGGGGAGCTGGAGCTCCAGCAGTTCTCGGTGGGAAAATCAGATTCTTTTTTCACATTTCTGCTTGTTTTTCTTTCCTTTTTTTTCTATTTTACTGATCCTACTTGAGATAGCAACATTTGTATTCAGCACTCGGCATT